CGCGATTTCGCCCGCGTGAAATTAAAAAAAAATAAAAATATAGCTTTACACACTGATAACGTAGCCTTTAAATGGTGATTTTTTTTTTAAATCGGCCCATTAGTTTTTAAGTTATTTCAATACATACAAAAATACAAATCTTTCTCCATTATAATAATAGGTTTAAATACCTCAGTAATGTTGCTCGATCTCTCCATTCGATGTTCCTACGGCAGGTTCTAGCTACCCCACTGCCGGCCAGCACAGCTAGACCCACGACTAAGAACACTTTAGTCCCAGGCTTGGAGCACCACATTAACTGGACGCCGTACGCCGTGATTATAACGCTGCCGACACTGTTACAATATAAAGATATATGAAAATGTAATATTTTTGTGAAAAACATTTTCTACAGCTTATTAAATAATTAAATATGATAAAAATCAAACTGAAAAATATCTCACCAGAACTAGTTTGTCAGATCTCGAAAATAAATGGTGAAAACAAGGAACTGTTAATAAAAGAAAAAAAAATTATAACCAAATACAAAAATGTGATACAAATAAAATATAAACTTACGTCATATTGTTTAAAATTACCAATAAAAGCCAAACCCAGTAACAGCAATGAAGATGAAATAAAATTAAGATAAAAGTGCCGCTAACACTACCTCGGCACATTTACAGTACTTAAATTATTTTTACATTCTTATCAAAAAAACAAAATCTAATTTTGCCCATGCAAACAACTGCTATATTTTGGAAATACTTAAAGAATCAAAACAAAATCGTTCCTTTGATTGTAACAAAAAATAACTAAAAAGGTACAATATAACAGATGTACTTAACAATGCATCGCCATATGTGATAAATACCTGGGTATATAAAGCACTCGTTCGGCTATCACAAAGCCGACTGTGACGAGTAAATTGGACGCCGGCACAAAAGGTACGACCAGCAATAATACTCCAATGACAGCGGGCGTGTGACGGTGAATCTGAAAGCGAAACATTGTTTAAACTGTTCTAGAATACAAAACAAAAACAAAAGAATACAAAACAAAATCATCATACTGTAAATTAGAAAAAGAAACGGGCAAAGTTTTACTCAACTATTGAATTTGATTCCTGCAATATCATAAAACTGATCACCAATAACCTAGATACACACTGCCACTCTTAGGTTGGCCCTCTTAATTTTGAATTGTAAATCTACAATAAATGACTTCTAGAGTAAACAATCGAAGATCGAGGAGAATTCTAATTTTTGTCCCTTTCTCTTTACCACCCTTTTCTTATAAGGAGAGAATGGGAAGTGGAAGTGGATTTAACGGAGGAGGAGATACGTAGGAATGGGAGATATCCTCTTTATGTGCGTCTCCTTCTCTGTCGGATAAGAATAGGCAACGCATCTGCAATTGCGGATGTCTATGGGCAGCGGTCGCTACGCTCTTTTGGCGGATTCCGGTGCCGCTTGCTCGTTTGCCACCTTATGTTATAAAAAAAAAATTATATTAAATAGACCCACCTCAATGTCAGCTACACAACGATAGCACAAGAGCAAGAGTGCGCCGAAAGCGGCACATGTGAGAAAGTTTCTCGGGTCCCAGCCACTGGTGATGAGAGGCACGGAGCCCATCTGCCAGTCGTGACTTAGCGTCCAGGGGCAGAGGAGCAGCCACCAGTTGAATGCAGCCAAGTAGCAGAATGTCATTAGTCTAAAAACAAAAAAATGACCAAATGACCAAACTAAATAAGATAGTGATAATGTTTTTATAATGGAAACTGTAATCATTACACAATAGAAAAATTGCTTTTGTAGAGCTGAGAAAACATATTTTTTTATATTACTTCCCAAACAAGATTGTTACCTGACGAAGAAACTAGGATGGAATGCAGCAGGGTTGTCCTGGGGGGAGAATGAGGGCCAGGTTCCCTGCAGCAACGCGAGCCGCAGACAGACGAGCAAGGCGAGTGACACCAGCACTTTGAACGTCCGCACAGACAGACCTGTGCACTTCTTTTCTATCTTCCATGAGGTAATAGACCTGTGAGTGATACGGCGTAAATTAGGAAATCTCGCAATATTCTCTGATAGTTTCGATTTTTGAGATACTTGAATTCGAAATTAAATAGATGATAGTCTTACTAATCTTACTCATACTAATATTATAAATGCGAAAGTTTAGATGGATGAATAGATGGATGTTTGTTAGAGTTTGTAGCCTAAACGGATAAACAGATTTTAATAAAATTTGGCATAGATGTAGAGGATAGTCTGGAATTGTTTTTTTCGTTTCACGCGGACGGAATCGCGCGCCAAAGCTAGTAATGTTATATACTGACATGTTTAGCCTTATAAAAAAATGATATGGTATTCATTAGGATGGATTTTATGCGAGGTAAAGTCGTTTCGTAAAAATCTTCACTGAATAAACTGAACACTTTTGCATGGCTATTAATCAAAACATTTTTAATTAAGTTTTGAAAGAAATCCATTAAAGAAAACTTTAACAAGAAATCCCCTTCAGCATTTGTATTGTTTCTGAAACACATTTTACCACAACGGCGTTGGCGAAGGCGAGGCGAAGCCGTAAGATAGAAAGCATGTGGACCAATGAGAAGAGAAAAACTTTAAGACATTCGCAACAATGCCTTTTAGAAAGCTTCTAACGAAAGAATTTTCATTAGAAAATGTGTGTAACAAAAGAAATTCTACTGAATAACCAATGTACTTTAATTTTTAGAATTAGCCTCCCACGCGTTTTACTATTTTAGCTTTAATTGTTAAACATTTTAATTCTAAGTTAAGATCCTTTACAAAAGAAAATCTTATTAAGCGGTATTTAGAAAGGTTTATAATTTTAATTTCATCTTAAAAATATTTAGGGATATAACAAACAGAAAAAATAATTATTGGAAAAATAATACTCTTAACATCTGTCTTACCTCTTCACGAATGGCCAGCATCTATAGAAGTCGATGGCAATGTTTAGGACTAGTATCGTAATTCCAGTCTCCTTGGCGAGCATGCTTAGAGCCCCCAAGAAAACGCTGAACCATACGCCCTTTTTTCCGCTCGTTGGTCTACAAAAGAGCGTTTTATATTATTCATGTTATCTTAATTCGTATGTTAAATAGCTGTAGACGTGAACGGTTTAAAATTAAATTACTTTACCTATGGTACACTAATAGCGATGAAAGAAAAAATATGCAAGCCAGCACATCTGCTCGTCCAACAACTCCAGCCACCTGTTAGACAAAATAACCTATTTAGTTCCTTTCCTCATAAAAGTTCTACCAATGTAAAAATAAATAAAATCGCTTTACATTTCCACAGAATCGGTAGAGCGTCTAAAGACATGTAACGCAAATGGGTAGGAAATAAGTCTTCGATTGTTGTTTAACTCACCGCTTCAGTATGTACAGGGTGTACTGCGAAGAGCAGAGCAGCGAGGGCAGCGAAGGGCCGCTGCAGCCGTGCTACTGTCACGCAAGCACGGGCCACCAGCGCGCAGCACGCCGCGTGCAGGCAGACGTTGCAAGCATGCCACCACCACGGCCGCAAGCCCCATAGGGCGTGATTCAATCTGACAGAAATAGCGAAAATTTAATATTCAGGAAAAGTATTTTATAAATGGTTTAATTATTTGATGCCTGTAAAAGACATGCAATAATAAACTCTTCCGTTGCGCGATTCAAAAAGTATCGTAAAGGAAAACACAATGTAATTTAATTGAGAAACAATATAACAATTTTGTGGTAGATTTTAGGAATTACAAGGAAGGTAAACATTACTAGTAACAATGTGACAGCTAGCAGCCAAATTTGCTAATAAATAACCTACAAATCCTCGTTCCAGGTACGCTTGGCACGCATTAACTAGTTACAGGCAGATTAATCCTACAACTATCACTGTTGATTTGCGAATGCCATGCTATCCTAGTCTGAATTACGTAATTATGAGTGAATTCATACAGTTGTTTTTAATTTTCGCGACTTACAGTAACAGAGATTCACTGCACTCTCATAATTATCCGTTAAATCTACACGACACACACAAACACAGATTCACTAGCACTGAGCACTACAGAAAACACCACTGACACTAAAACCCAAGCACTTTCACTTCACGGTCAATTTTTCTTTCTCGTAATTCACTTAAGACTTCTTCTTCACAGTTCACTTTCCAGCATAAAACTGCCCGGCCCGGATTTCCTCACATAGCCCGAATTTCGATCTTCTTTTGTCATTTTGTTACATTCACGATTGTTCGAATCACATACAATTTCATAGAACATTCTCGATGTCGCTTCGATTATTTCAGACATGTTTTCACGAATGTCTTTTAAGCTATTTGTCTACAGATGACGTTGCGGTAGAATGTTCTGGAACCATCTCGACTATTCGTCGGGCGTCAATTTTGTTATTTGCCATCAGATGTCGCAGCGATAGAACGTTCTAGAAACAGCTAAATTATTCCGTAGACATGAATTTTGCTACGCGTGAATAGATTACGTTGCAACAATAATTGCTATACTAATTTGATAGTACTTCCTTATCAAAGTATACACTATTAAAATTAAATTTTGCTTTGGTATTTGGGATTAAATTGCGATCTTTAGTTAGTCTTATCTAACCGAATATTAAATAGAAGTCTAGACTAGAATCATGGGAAACGTCAAGCCTGATATACAAATAAGGTTAGCTTTACAGTTCTCTGTCAGTTGATCTTTACTGTTCAGTTTGAACTGTACAGTATGTAGCTACGAACGCAAATGTATAGTCGAGACCAACTTATATAATATATAGTAGTTGTAGTTATGTGAACCAGCGTTCAATTTTAATTTAAAAACGGAACGTGTTCATAAAACATATGCATGAAATATTTCAATCGGATTTCAAACACTTGTAAACCTGGACAAACAAATATTATTCTATGTTGACATTAGCTGTGGAAAGTAAATTAAATTGAATCGTTTATTTATTCAAATACGCCTGTTTGTGTATTGTACATAATTAAACAAATATAAAATCCTCATAATTAAATGAATGATTGTGTTACTCTGTTGTAATAAAACAAACTTCAAATATGAAATTATTTAAAAAGCAAATTTAGTATAAATATCAGTGGTAGAGCCCGCTTTAACATCTTCACACGAATGGGCCGTCTCACCCATTGTAATACCACGACTACACAGAAAATAGGCGTGAAGTGGAATCTATTCCGCGTTTCCTCTGATGAGTGTGGTGCCGGATGCCTAATTTTAGTCCCTTTCCCTTTCCACCCTTTTATTAAGAGGAAAGGATGCTAAGGAAAAGTGGATTTGACGGTGGAGGAGACGCATAGGAAGGGGAAATGTCCTCTTTATATAATTGCTTATGTCCTATATAACTGTGCGTATTTTTATTACAATAAGTATATAGGTATGTCCAGTTTATAATAGTGTAATGTAATAAGAATATAGAAGTAACTATAGACAAGAAAATGTCTACCAACAAGTGCAATGTGGTAGCAGTAATGTGTCAGAGGATTCAAATCGCAACTTGACGGCAATGCGCCGAGTGCTGCGGAACGCCATTACCACTTTAAGAAGAAATAGGTCTTACAAATGTTTTATAGAAACATTTCTGTATCATTAGTAACTACGAGAATATCTAAATTGTCTATACGTTTTGTTTAGCTACACGCAGACAGATTGGAACAGTTTCAACCTTCAGTTAAAACTGTCTAGCGAGCATAAGAAATAGATGTCCGGAAAGTAATCGTCACTGTTCCTTCAACAATGACATTATGGAGAAATGAAACGTCAAATCCATTTCCATTGAACATTCCGCGCCGCCCCCTGCCCCCCGCGATCCCTTGCTGCCACCGCCGCCCCACGCCAGCGGCGCGACGACACTGGCTTTATACTTTCCACGGAGACGTTTGTGATTAATGGAACACTTCTCAATGACGACACCACTAAAGACTTCTCAAATATACTTTACCAACTTACAAAGTATTGTTATGTTATGACTTTTATTTGCGATTTTACAATGGATATTTTTTTATCATCTACTAGCTGTTGATCGCGACATCGTCCACGTGAAATTAAAAAAATAGTAATAAAATAACTTATGATACTAACAGATAAATTATCTCTCTAACGGTGAAAGAATTTTTTAGAATCCGCTCAGTAGTTTTGAGTTATTTCAATACGTACTACAATACAAATCTTTCCTTTTTATTATAATATAAAAGTTATCTTCCGCGACTCCTTCCGTATGGAATTAGAGAATGTGCCTGTGAGTTTCTTCAGGCTATACCCTACTATGTCAAATTTCACCGAGATACGTTCAGATGTTTAGGCGGCGAACTCTAACATGCATCGATTTAAACTTTTGCATTTATTATATAAGTGAAATAGTAAGAAATAATAAAAGTAAAAGTACCCCTAAATTAAAGTGATTAGAATAATAATCAATTTTAATTTTCATAATAAACTTCTATTTCCAATACGCGTGTAGTTAAACAAACTTGAGTAAAACAAACAGACGAGAGTCGCGTGTGAAGACGGGAACAGTTTTGAAGCGCGCACTATTTAGACAAGCAGTGTAAACGCGCCTGACAGTATCGTGTTTATTTATACCAAATCCACTGATGTGTGTTTACATAATTATTCTATGCATACATGGACAAGTTTGTTATTTCGTAATATTCAAATTCGTTACTGGAATACGGGAAATATAATTTATAATATGCTTGTATTAGCGAATATCAAATGCGTAAATCATGGAACATTTAATAATCATTTTGTGGTATTTATAATGTTACTGTATTTCACATTGCAGGGTTCTCAATTACGATATGAGGTTAGTAAAAGAAAGTACAGATTTATCGAAACAAAATGCTTTATAAAATAGGTTGTATTTAATTGCCAATAGATGGCGTTAAATAATATTTAAATGTTTATGTTTTATTTTGGAAATGCTGTTTAGTTTATTTTTGTAAAAAAAGATGGAGCTTATTACAAATTTTAAAATTATTCATTGATAAAGTACTTTTTAGAGAAAGTACCAATTAAAAAAAATGTTTATTATGCCTCATACATTTTTAAATGTATTCTGTACTAATCTAAATAAAAACAAGTAAAATTACAATTTGTTTTTTAAAAGTTTGTTATCTGCGAAGTTCTTGTTTTTGGAATACACTGCAACTTGACCTCGGTTTACATTTTAATGAGGTCTAGTTCTATCTGGGAAGGAGGACAGCTCGCAGATAGAATAGGTCAAGGAATTCGTGTAAGTGCATACATGTGTCAGCAATATTGAATGCGTCTATAAACAAGGGAAAATACTGGAGTAAACAATATATACAATGAAAATAACGTTTTTTGTACTGGTATTTTAATATTATTTATGTTATTCAAATTTTTTTTATAGTACAAGATAACAAATAAGCAAGCAGCTACTGAAATTCGCCAAAGTAGCGAAGCGACCACTGCCCTTTTACATCCGCATTAGCAGATGTCTATTTTTAATCAACAGAGGAGGGGACGCGCAGAAATAGAATATCTTCTATACCCAAACTAATCCGCAAGGTAGGGAAAGCATTTGCAGTTGCGGATGTCTATAGACAGCGAGCGCTTCGCTATTTTAGCAGATACAGGTGGCCGCTTGTTCGTTTACCACCTTACGTTATAAAAAAAAACACTTCATCCTTTCCTTCTACGAAAAGGGTTGAAATGGAAAGAGTACAATTAAGCCTCCAAATATTAAAAATACACCGTTATTGCAGAGTTATAAATGAAAAGCAAAGGATTAATCATTTTTTTTTATATCGTTGGCCGCTCTAAACGTCCGCAAGGGATGTAACATGTCCGCCTGATTGCTTTTTAATAGCCACTTACGTCACCGATAGCGGCCCGCACAATCTATACGCGGCTATATCTCCGTTTCTTTTACGTGTTTTCATTTTTCATCTTAAAGCAAAGCTTCGTTTACTGTATATTGGATTTTACGTCGTAAACTACGAGCGTTTAACGACCGGCTCATATTACACTTAGAAACATTAACTGCCAATAGCTTAATGCTTTAGTATTGTGAGATGAAGCTATAAGATGTGGTCCAATATTTTTTTCTAAGACATCAAAGGAGATTGACCATTCGTTACTCAATTTGTAGGGTTTTACGTGTTCGTTCAATTACACATAACCTTGAATTTTTTAATCACTAGATTTCCGAAATAACAATTCATGAAGTCCAAAAAATTGGGTTATTTTATAGATTTTAACATGGTAATTGAAGTATTTATTGAGTTTTAAATTTTGACATATACATACCAATTTTCGAGTCTATAATATTTTCAACGAAATATAGACCAAAATATAGACAGCCTCAAAGAAATTTAAATAAGTAAATTTTAGATGTTACGTTTCGCAGTTCATATAGACAATGTACACTTTTGAAATACAACTATCAGGAGTACAGGTATCGATATCTTCTAGTGACACTGGGGGCACGAGAGCGCAGGGGCATGGGGGCACGGGAGCACGAAGCGCGGGGCACGGGGGCATGTGGGCACGCCACACGGGCGTCCGCTTGATTG